GCGTCATGTTTTTTCGTGCGTGCAGCCGGCTCCATCGAATTATAAGACGTCAATAAATACAACCTATATCAAACTTAATTCTTGAAATAAAATCCTTTGCAAAAGATATTACTGAACAACTTATAACTGGAAAATCATAACTTTAAAATAAAAAAATCATTTTTCTTCATAATCACACATCCTAAACTTAAATAACCCAACAACTTCCATATCCGAAATGTAATATTTATAAAGTTTTAACTATAATTATATTAGACATAGTACATCCTATTAGTTTTCCTTTATGAACTAGTTTTAATTAAAATATTGATTTTTGTATGTCCTAAAGTATTATTTGGACATTTCGATGCAATAAGTTGAACAAAAGTAACTTTTTTAGAATCGCTTACTCTGTCTAGTTTGAAGGCGAAACAGTCAAATTTTGGTTCATTTCTGGTGGATGGTATGAAGTTTCATACAAATTGAATGAACGAAATTTGATTACCTCTAAGGTCACGTGGAATCATAAATGGGCTGACTTTTCGACGTCATTTCGAATAACCGATGCATCTCAATTGTAGGTTGTCAATATGCTCTCTCATGAGGCTCCCTTGGTCTCATTAGGGTATGCCTGAAATGTCAAAAATGTATTGGATTTCGACATACGAGAGTCATAGCTTACTCTTAATATTACCTTAAGTCCTTAATTGAATTCCAAAATATCAAATGATAAGGACAAATGAATATCAATAAATGATCGCAATAATTGCGAATATGATTTTTTTCCGTTCTAGTAATTAGTATAATGTAATAGAGTCAAACGGGTCATGGGAATGTACACCAAAAAACTTGATTTACATACAATAATAGCATTGTTGCTGGCATATCAGTCCAACTCGAAAGATTCGAAACGTCCAGGCATGCAATGTAATAGAGAAAAGTTATAAGAGTTTTTAAGAAAATATAATATTAGTAATACAGTTTCATGTTCATAAATATTATTTTAAAAAATGTTCAAGAAACATATTAAATACATATAAATTGAATCCAGTCGTGCTTTGCTAAATTTTCACTTAACCCGTAACAACACCTGTAAAGCACGTGTATATACGTCAATGTTACAATTAATCATAGGCTGTTGCTGGTTGAGAAAAGTTTTATGTATCGTCACATATTTTATAACAAGCTTTTAAAAATGAACCAGTGGCGCTACAAGCTTTTTAGCGTAGCTTTATATGTATTTGTTCCATGATAATTTATTATTCTCAATATACAAATAGGTGATCAGCCTTGTTCCTGGACTCGCCATAGACTTTTTAAATCAAAGGCCGCCTCACGAGATTTCCTTCATCGTACAAGCGATTGACAAATGCGTACCTAGAAATGGCATTGATGCACAGCAGTATCTATGTTCTCAGGAATGACAGCCACACTCTAGGCCCACACTGCCAACATTGGCTATTTAACCATCAGTATTATGATGTGATTTGAATTTTTTCCCACTAACAAACCTACTACAACTAAAATACCTAGGTATATGTATTAATACATATTATATACCTTTTGCATAATAAAGGTTATACAAATATAAGGTGTATAAAAATTTAAAAACCGAGTCAAGAGGTTGCCAATATATGAGTGTTTATGTCTGTACAGTTTATAATAAAATAAAATGTAATATGTATGTATGTATAGACTATAGAAATAGCAAGCCTATTATCAATAAATAGTAAAGGAAACTCGTTGCTAATTTATATTTCGTGGAATTGACCTATAACCTGTTTCGTATGAATATTATACAATTTATTACTTTAGGGCTGTTATGTTATTCCTTTTTTTCAATTTTGAAATTCTATTCAAAATGCGTCATTACAGGATCGCGTCGACGTTCTTAATTCAAATATTCGAAGTAATGGATAAACATATAGATTGGCGCGTGCTTATATACGAGTACATACTGCTCTAATTTTCATACAAAAATGTAGTGTAACTATCCTATAACGTTAACTTGATGAAATATAAATATGTTTATTCTCAAGTTAGACTTACTATCATAACCACGTGAAAAAGTTTATCCAACTTTTGTGTACGGTCTCCTTTTGTGTTCAACTGTTCGCAAGACTGGTGCTTGACTCTGTAGCAAGCATTAAACGGCGCAGAGACAACATAACATGCTGTCAATCATTAACAAAATGTATTTTGGGCGCATTTATTACATGCAATTAATGATACTAAAACGTATAAACTTTTGAATATCATACAGACTGCATGAATACGTGGGGTTAATTATTGACACTATGAAATTTAACATTTTCAATATAATTATAAATAGATATATGTATATTTATTTACATATACTTTTTTCAAAGTCACCTGTAACTTACTGCTTTAAGTATATATAAATCGAATGCATTTTCAAAAACTAAGTCAATATTTATAAAAAATAATTTCAATTCGATCGCACATATATAAATGTATAGCTAAGTAATTTTAAAATCTATTAAAAGTCAGAACATCCTGTATGTTCATTTTTAACTTTTATAAACAACAATCGATATTGACCTGTGCCCAGAAATAAAGTGGTGTCCGGCCGATATTCACATTCCTCATAACTGAAAAATTAAGGTAAATTTAATCGATTTTTATTTAAAGGTGGACTGGTGTGTGGACTGTGTGCTTGAGATTTAAGTGTTTAAAAACTCGCGCGACGTAAACGTTACATATATTGTATTAAGGTAAATTATATAAAGTGCTCCTAATACTACATGTACAACGAAACAATAACTTATTATGTCATAGTTAGTAATATGTCTGTATTTGCCATGAAAGCGGTGCATACGAACATAATTTTGTTTTTATATCTAACAACAATATCATAAATGTTTTTTGTACAACTTCAGTTGACATACAATTAATAAAGAGATATTTGATTTTTGAAGTTATACTTCTTTAGGCGCGTTATGAAAAATTGATGAGAGTGAAATTTTACGATGCGCGCGCACCTGTGACACAAAATTCGGAGTGTGATTATAGCGTGCGCGAGCGAGATAGGAATAAGACAATCTACAAGTAAAAAGAAATAGAATATGCGTGAAGTTCGTATGCCAAGAATTTTGAATGACCATAATGACATTTGTCATTTGTCTTTTAAACAAATAAAGGAGTTTTGATTAATTTTTCAAAGAAATTTATTAATTTTATATTGTGCAATACTGCCAAAGCTACAACATACTTCTTAGTGTTTGGTAGAGATGTTCTAAATATATAATTATATATACTTTTAACTAAATAGAATTTATGTTACACTTAATGTAAGAGAATAATAATAAATAATTATTTATTTAATTTTTCAAATGTAAACTGAACTTAATTGACTATAATGACTCCTTTTCCAGTCTTTGATTATTTAATTGTAATTAATTATTTGCATGCAATCAAAAACTATTTTTAATAATGCCAAAGAAGTATAACTTCTTACGCGCGTACATAAGTACACGCACCCTTTTTTTTTTTTTTTATAATGAAACTATAAATAATATAAATATTAAAATCTACAAATCTTTAATTATTACTAAAGTTGACTATTAAATAATTTATCAAGAAACAAGTACAGCAATCTGAGGCAATCAGCTAAGCCCTTTTATTTATTATTAACTTCTTTTATTTATTATTTTGGGTTCAATCAGAAACCGATTCTAAGGCTCATTTTATTGTCGATATTCAGTGCATCCGCCGTGATTTTTTCCCCGTGAATAAAGCAGTTAACACTGCCTTGGAGTGTCGCCAATTCGTTGTAAAGGTTTCATAGATTTATTGCACTTTCAAAAGTATCCCTAGTTTTTGTTAGGGCTACTGTATTTTGTTAAAACTTTAGTAATTTCCAAACTAAATTGATGAAATGCTAAATTGGTTTAAATTTTGTATTGAAATGCTTCTTTAATTTGTTATTGATAAATAAGGCACAGAAATATAAGGTATATTTAATAATCAATAAAGTCGCTAGGCATAATATATTCTAAACAGAATACATTATAAATCAATTAATATGCACATGAATAAAATGAATAAATTTCATTTAAAATATTCATTTTTTAAATGAAGTCGAAGTTTAAGTTCTTAAACGTATACGCAAAAACTTGTCTGTCACTAGCGATATCGGCTTTACAGTCGATAATGAGAAAAGATAGGGTTAACGCAAAAGCGTACCGTTGGTGTAAGAAATCCTGGCTACGAAACATCTGAGAGTGGACGGGAGTCACGTTTGTGAATTGTGTAGATTGTCAATAAACGAAAATTTTGTAGAATAAATGCTAACCTTTCGTAATAGTAGAAGCACCACAAGATTCGAATTAATGTAATAGAAACAGCATACCGTAGTTAATAACTAAGAATATATATACTTTAAGGTATTTAGAGAAACATAGAAGAAATTTATGGCTTTATTAAGGCCGTTGTTAAAGCTCGACGAATTTTTTAGTTAATTATTATATATACTATAAAGAAGCTGATGCTTATTTGGAATTATGATATTTTATAAAGAACTTTCTGCCACGTACGAACTCTTTGTGGAATTAACTGCCAGGTAATTCCGAACTTATACAACTCAAGAAAATAACGTACTATTACCTCAACCCATTGCACTTAATTCATACCAAAACCATAAAGAGTGATGAAGTAGAGATGCTGTGGAGTGTTGCCTACTAATAAACGGTCACAATCGTTTTCTCTTAGTTTTAATTTCTCAACCCGCAGGACTGTTCAATGTGGGAACATACCAGGGACGTTTATAATGTCGAAATATTAATTATTCTAGGTAACCTTTGTAATCTTATGAACGCCAAAATAGAAATGTTTTTTACTGCTGGTTAAAAAGGGCGGAGCACAGGCAAGATGCTCTCCGCTATTCATTTGAATCGTCAACTATTTCGTTTCACAAGAACCATTGCACCCGGTTCCACATATCATGAAACTTGTATAATAAAATTCGTATAAAAATTACATTATTATATACTGGTATCTAGATGGCGTCTATCCCACCATCGGAAGACCGTTTGACGTCAGGACATCGGCTGTCTCACCCGCCACCTGGAGATGAGGTTTTCATCTCCGGTATTTCTGGTTCTTTCCCCGACTCTGACTCCGTTATGCACCTGCAGGAGAACCTCTTCAACAAGGTAAATAGATGCCAAATATAACATTTAAATTTGAAATTCAAATATTCTTATTTTTTAATAACAATATTTAAATTTTATATTGATTCTCATTTCATAGATTGACTTGATCTCCAATGACGGCCGTCGGTGGAAACTCAGGCACCCCGAAATCCCGCAGCGAACAGGAAAAATCAACAATCTCAACAAATTTGACGCATCTTTCTTTGGCGTTCACTTTAAACAGGCCCACACCATGGATCCCATGTGCAGAATACTTCTAGAAAAGGCATATGAGGCTATATTTGACGCCGGTGAGCTATATTTTTGTAATTTAAAACAAAATAACATAGTGACCATGACGTTTTTATGAAATACGTTATGAAAATAAATCAACATTATCAACATAATATTAGATTTAGAGATCGACGAACCAAACATTACACAATTGCCGTATAAAATATTCCTACAAAATAAAGAGACCGGCGACAATTACTTCACTAGAATTCTGTCTCTTTCAATCTCTCGCTAACCACAACTAATTAAAGAACATTTAAAAAATAAGATTTTGTTTAGTTTTACTATTGAAATCTTATGCAATGTTCAGTAGAATTTGCTGGCGTAGATAATACAATAATGCACTAACTAGAAGTGTTCTAATTTTAAATTAATAATAAGGATGTACGTCTTTTTCTTTATTACCTAACAGTAGTTAGTTTGACGTAATATCTAATGCCTATTCAATGATTTCAAACGTAAAACTGTTTTTAATCCATGCTTGCTCAATTATAATAAGTTTCTGTTGACATAAGTTATATCGCTGCAATTGTAGCGGTTATAATGATAATTACAAAATAACAATTAAACGGTTTACTATTATAGATACAGCTTATCGAATACGTAATTGTTTGATGTTATGTAACAAAAGCAAAATGTAATATTTAAAGCTTATTTATACCTTTCTAGGCGTTAACCCAAATGAACTGCGTAATACAAGAACTGGAGTGTTCATTGGAGCCTGTTTCTCTGAATCGGAGAAAATGTGGTATTACGATAAAATGCAGGTCAATGAATTTGGTGTGACTGGGTATGTAATTGGATTGGTTTAAGACTATTTTTTTGTGGATTTCTTATTAGTTCCGCCCAAGAATAATTTTCAATTTACCAGTTAAAATCCATAGATATAGTTTATTACACGTATTTATTTAATTAAGGCTATACATATGTTTGTATATGTTAAAATTGTTATGTAATTTCCAACTTAAAGTATTCGTTTATATATAGTAACAAAAAGTACATAACAAGTTGGAATACAGTGACTTTATAAATTTCGCAGGAATCTCTTGTTAAAATAGCAAACACAGTATAAAGAAACAGAGATTCAGCGAACTGTATTCCTTTCTCGGACATTCCATTCTTTGACAATATAAAAAAAAAAAATTCAAACAAAATTAACCTTTGCAACAGATGTTCCCGTTCCATGTTAGCCAACCGTATCTCCTACTGGTTGGGGGTAACAGGTCCTTCTTACACCGTAGACACGGCCTGTTCAAGTTCACTATACGCACTGGAGCACGCATTCAGAGCCATTCGGGACGGACACTGCGATTCTGCTATCGTCGGTGGATCCAATCTTTGTCTCCATCCCTATGTTTCCCTGCAATTCTCTAGGTGAGATTTTAATACACTTAAAAAATTCTGTTTCGTTATTTTGGGTACATTCACTTCTCAATTAATTTGCGTAAATAAATGTAATTCATTAATTTATTAAGCTAATATATATTAAAATAACTAAACTTTATTGATACTATTTCTGCAGTAACAATATTATGTAAAATGAATAATATAGTATACGTTAATTTATAGGCTGGGAGTGTTATCGCCTGATGGATCATGTAAGAGTTTTGACAATAGTGCTAATGGTTACGCTCGGTCTGAAGCCATCGTTGTTTGCTTGCTGCAGAAGGCCAAGAACTCCAGAAGGTAAGGCTGCTCTCTATAGGAGTAATTCTTAGCTTAGAGGCTTTCTCCTTACTATGCATGAGACATAAAAAAATGAAGTTAAGTTAAAGTTTAATCAAATAAAGTTTTCATGGTTCAACAATTTTTTTAAATGTCGTATGCCAGTATCACGTTGAAGACAAAAGCAGTTGCTCTGCGATATCATGTCGATTATAATTTAAGGTAATTTTAGAAAATTAAAATCGATATTTGAGTAACGAGGTTTATAACTAAATACTAGAGTACATTTTTTTTGACTTTAACATATTATAACGTATAGGTGTTTACATTAATCTTGTAAATTTAAATATAAAAGAAATAGCAGAAGTTTAGTAAAACTACAATGATATTTAATGCTGATTAAAATAATAATTAATATTCAAAAATAAATAAACAATGTTGAGAGTAGAATGGAAAAAAGCAGAACGAAGCAACATTATTGAATAAGAATATATGAGGAGAAAAGAGTTACCCCGCGCAAGTATGCTTCGCCGCGTGAATTAATAGTCCCACATACAACGATATTTCTCACTGTGTTCTTTACCTAAGTAGGTACAGCAGTACGGGCTTGCGCTGAATTTGATACATAACTTGTTTTCATTAATATATTTTCTTTATAGAGTATATGCACAAGTGCTTCACGCAAAGACAAACTGTGACGGCTACAAAGAACAGGGTATTACATACCCAGCGGGTAATGTTCAGAAACAGCTCTTATATGAGTTTTACGAAGAATGTTCCATCATGCCAAAGACCTTGGAGTACGTCGAGGCTCACGGCACCGGTCGGTAATTTTCTAAATATTTTCGTTCGATAACGATTTTTTATTAGTTACTATTGTATTTTATTTTACAGGCACACAAGTAGGAGACCCAGAAGAGTGCCTTGCCATCGATGACGTGTTTTGTACGGGCAGATCAGAACCACTCAAAATTGGTTCCATCAAGTCTAACTTAGGACACAGTGAAGCTTCCTCCGGTCTTTGCTCAGTGGCTAAGGTATATTATACTAATCAAACCTATTCAAAAATTAAATCATTTATCAAATAGGTAACTTAATGCCCCTTTATGAACGTCAGTCAAATAAATTAATGGCAATTTACTGCTAGTCATTGATATACAAAAAACCCAAGATGCACAGTCTCGAATAAAAGTAACGCTCGAAAGTGTCCCGAAACACTATTTCTGTCCATAACAGTATATGTTACAAGCATATATTATTGCAAAATCAACCTTACGCGAATTGCTTAAAGTTGTTATTACAACGCAGTGTATACGTACTTAAAGCAATAAAATTTTACGACCGACCGTGGTCGGTAGGACAAGGTATTGAGTGGAGTCGAACATGACTTTTTTATTTATAACTGTTTAACATAATTTTAAATTTATCCGACTTTTCGGGTGCTTTACAGCGTGAGTGGTCACGGTGACTGAAGACAAAAGGTGTTGGATGTTAAATAGTTGTAAATTTATAATAATACATAACATTAATCCGGTTAAAAAGTTTTTTCTTTAAATTAAAAAAAAATGTTAAATTGGCTACCTCCTGACCCACACTTTATATAGCGTAAATATATTTGTCAAAAACTACACACAAAAAAGTTCAAGAGTACATAAATTTATTTATAAAAAAAACACAAATAAATAACATCGACTCCACTTATAGACGCGAGACTATTTGAAATGAGCGCACAATTTAGAATGTTGCGCTCATTTTTTGAGGACGTTTTTTAGACGTTGATTGTGCATCTTGGGTTTTTGTATATCAATGCTGCTAGTCCTTAAATTAAGGACGTAGATAAAACGAGAGGAACTGGCAATTAACTACCACCTCTTATTATTACTAAACTATTATTGAATATGAATCAATTATTGAAATTCCTCGAAGGCGATCAAAAACAAAACATTTACGTACGTCTACATAACATCTAGAAATTTTAGAAATATAACTGACCTAACTCATAAGTAAATCTAACTGAAGCTATTGTTCCTTGTAATGAATTACCGACTAATCGCTACCCACCCAACACACGTTTACTAGTCAAAGCGATAAACAAAGACCATGCATTCAGGAAATAGGAATGAAAGAAATAAAGTGCCATACCCTAGAGTATTGTTTTAAAAATATTTTTTTTGCTTTCCAGCTATGCATCGCTTACAGCACAGGTTACATTCCACCAAATTTGCACTTTAAAACGATTCGTGAGGGTGTCAAAGCTCTGGAGGAAGGAAGGTTTCAAGTTATTACAGAAAAGACTCCATGGAACAAAGGAATGGCTGGAATTAACTCATTCGGCTTCGGAGGAGCTAATGCCCATATATTGTTGAAAAACGTTTCCCCGACTAAGGTATGTGCAAATTATAGAATTATAGGTCTGGTTGCGTAACTTTTATTAATAAAAATTCTATGAAAAGTGTTCTACAACCTCATTCCTTGTTTAGCACTGGTTTCTAAAGAAACATTCAGGATATTTAAGAAACAGTTTTATTAGACTGATTTAGTTAGTTAGAAAGTAGGTAGAACGATATATAAAAGAAAGCATTAACCTTAGTCGTGTTTTTGACCATGTTCATATATGTTATAACTAGTGCAGTTCATTCTTAAATGTAATTTATATCTCCGTTTTTAAAAATTATAATTGACATTAGTTCAACATTTAACGGGTACAATCAAAACCAGTCATTAAAATAAGTAATCAGCGTATTGCGTTTATCTTGTTTGAAAGTGTAACCACTTTACTTGTCACGGGTATATATTTATTAAGTTCATATAATTTTAAGGTCAATAATGGAATACCCTCGGATGACCTGCCTCGTCTAGTTTGCATATCTGGACGTACAGAATCAGCAGTGGCCAGAATCTTTGATGACCTAGAGTCTAGAACGTTAGATGCCGAATTAGTGAGACTCTATCACTCCATCCACGAAGAAGAAATTAAAGGCCATATTGTTAGAGGATACTCATTGCTAGGTAACTTAAATAAGGCATAAATAATTTTAGTACTCTTTTAATTTAGAGGTATGTTTTTGGAGAGACTAAAATTTAATAGGATATAATAACAATAGCATAATGTTAGTTACAAGGATTACTATAAAAAATCAATAATTATAGTTATAATAATACTATCTTTATAAGAGAGAGAGAGAGAGCAGTGTTGGCCTAGTGGCTTTAGAATGCGGCTCTCATCCCTGAGGTCGGTTCGATATCTCCAATGGATTTTCTGTCTATGTGCACATTTAACATTCGCTCGAACGGTGAAGGAAAACATCGTGAGGAAACCGGCTTGCCTTAGAACCCAAAAAGTCGACGACGTGTGTCAGGCACAGGAGGCTGATCACCTACTTGCCTATTAGATTAACAAATGATCATGAAACAGATACAGCAATGCGCCACTGACTTTATTTATCTTTATAACGACACCAGTATATAGTACGAAAACTGTTGAATCATCACTTATCATAACTTATCACTTAAAACGTTGTCGATATATATATAAATATAATCGAATATTTTACTTATAAAAAAAAGGGTGCGTGTACTTATGTACGCGCGTAAGTAGTTATACTTCTTTGGCATTATTAAAAATAGTTTTTGATTGCATGCAAATAATTAATTACATACAATTAAATAATCAAAGTCTGGAAAAGGAGTCATTATAGTCAAAAAAGTTCAGTTTACATTTGAAAATTAAATAAATATTTATTATTATTCTCTTACATTAAGTGTAACATAAATTCTATTAAGTTAAAAGTATATATTATTATATATTTAGAACATCTCTAGGTACCAAACACTAAGATGTATGTTGTAGCTTTGGCAGTATTGCACAATATAGCCATTGATTAAAAAGAGGAACCTATCTCTGATGATGATGAAGATGCCCTGCCCTCACACCAACAGTGCCCTCATCTCAAAATACACTGCGTGGAGCAGCAGTGAGAGCCATTTTTATTGATGAAAACTTTTAAGTTTGATAGTTCTTAATTTAGGTTGTTTTAACAATTAATAACTTAATTGTTAATTGTTATAAACAAATTAAACACTATTTATCTTTAAAACATTTTTATTTCATTATACTAGGTATTTATTTTTAAGTGACTCCAATGTCTTCATCAAAATTTCAATTATTGATATATAGAGTCGTAGAATATTTCTAAAAAGTTGCTATAACAAACGCAATAAACAAAAGCAATGAATAACCGTTCATGTTTCAGTTTTACTCAACAATAATACTCGATAATACATACGGATAGTTAACCTCAATTGTATTGAAGCACTTAGGAAGGTTGATGAGCACAGTTTTTTCACTAATATTAATTAGTATTGATTTAAATATTCAATTTAAATCACTTCTGATTATAATTCAAAAAGCATTGCTAAATTTCTTTAAAAAAATAATTAAAACTCCTTTATTTGTTTAAAAGGTAAATGTCATTATGGTCATTCAAAATTCTTGGCATAGCTGCTAACTTCACGCATATTCTATTTCTTTTTACTTGTAGATTGTCTTATTCCCATCTCGCTCACGCACGCTATAATCACACTGACAACTTTGTGTCTCAGGTGCGCGTGCATCGTAAAAATTCACTCTCATCAATTTTTCATAACGCGCCTTAAGAAGTATAACTTCAAAAATTATCTAAAATTCTTCCTCAAAAACATCCTCATGTATTTTAATCAATGGGTACTGGGTTAATACGTTTATGTTCCGAATGCGATCAAATTTTTACATTTTTTTAGGCTCAACACCAACCAAAGCAGTATCTCTTGCCCGTAACATCCAATACTTTTCGGGCGTTCGTCGTCCTGTTTGGTTCGTGTACACTGGTATGGGCTCACAATGGGCTGGTATGGCTACAGAGCTAATGAGAATACCGGTCTTTGCCGCTGCTATTCAGAAGTAAGTCCCAAGAAGCCTTTAATAATCCTACACCTGAGCCCTTACTCTGTAATTTCCAAAAGCGATACCGACAACGATTCCGATCTCAATAATGAGTTTTGTACCGCACGATCCCACGGTTACGACATCAGCGTTACGGATATTAAGAGAACCACATCAAACTTGGATGTATCGTTGTTGCTATGTTGCAGAGTAGTCACAGTTTAGTAAGACTGGGTCAGACGTTTAGTAGGTTACTAAATGGATAGAGTATAAAACGATAATCTTGCTTTTATATAGAACTTTGTTTTGTTGGTATTTATTTTGCTGACTATGGTTATGAATGTTATATTTAGGTTACTCCCAGATATCTAGAATAAGTAGAAATTAGCTTAGTTACATTATTCGGTAGGAATTATTGCATCATATTTTATCAAAAATTTATAATCGGTCATAGATATTATACTATTGACTTCAGGTGTCATAAAGCCTTGGAACCTAAAGGCATTAACCTAACAAAGATCATCACGAAAAATAACCCCAAGATTTACGACAACATCCTCCACTCCTTCATCGGGATTGCCGCCGTACAAATTGGTCTTACCGACGTCTTGAAGGCCGTTGGCATTGAACCAGACTACATCATTGGTGAGTTTGTTACTGTTGAATTAGAAGCTTATAAAGATTTATTATCAGCAACTATTGATCTTGAAATCAGCTAGTTTTTATTTAAAAAACAGCAGATTTAATAAAAAATAAACTACTGTAGAGGCACGTGAAACACCGAAACCAAAGTGAGGTAGTTTTTTTAAATCGCCGGTTTTATTTATATTCGGGTTAATCATACCTGTACTGGGTTTGAACGTGAATATGTAGATGTTTATTTTTCAAGTTATGAGCCTTTAAAAAAAATCTAATTGAAATTTCGATAAATTTTTAAATATCACATTTGCAATTTGTATAGATATTTATTTTCCGTTTTTGATAAGAATATACATTTTAACAATTATATTAAACTAATGAATTAGGTTTCCTATCTCCTAAAACAAAATGTTCAAATAGAGTTGAAGGAGACATAAATCTTGTTGGGGTATGTTTCATTTCTAAAATATCGCATATAAGAATGCGATATATAATTAAAAAACTTTGTAGGTCACGGCGTCGGAGAATTAGGTTGCGCATACGCTGACGGCTGTTTCACAGCAGAACAGATGATCTTGTCTGCGTACAGCCACGGTCTTGCTTCTATCGAAACACCTTTCATCAAGGGCTCCATGGCAGCTGTTGGATTGGGATACAACCAGGTACGAACTCTATCAAATCTATACGTGTATATCGCTGAATGTTGTATTTACCAACATTAATTATTTATGTATAATATTTGATAAAAATATTAAATAATTAATTGAATATTAAAATGTTCGACAATCCCAAAAAAAACAATAAAATATCTTACCACAGATCAAATCCCTCTGCCCGCCTGAAATTGAAGTGGCCTGCCACAATGACCCCCAATCTAGCACCATCTCAGGTCCAGCTGAAATCATGAAGTTCTACGTAGCAAAATTGGTGGAGAAGGGAGTCTTTGCCAAGGAAGTTCCTTGTTCCAACATTGCCTACCACTCCAAATACATCGCTGAGGCTGGTAGGTTTTTGTTTGAACCTCTTTCGGTTTACTGCAATGGAAATAAATTCTTGGGGTATAAATTTAGAATAAGGGATTCCGGAATATCACTTTCATACACTTTGCATGTATAAAGTCATTGTTCTCTATTTTAATAAGAAACAAAGATGCCGGCACTTGTTTTATACTCTAGAGCAACATAAATACATGTATAATTATTTATCTGAAGTTAAGTTTACCTTCGTACTGCTAATATCTAAGGATTTTAGTCATTTTTAGTCACACAGAAACAATTAATGGAGCAATAGTTAATTATTTATTTATTGTATACATGTTCTTAAATAGGAAGAAGTTGGTGTGGTGGAAACACAAACTGGACACAGTTTTTCTGTCCACTAGGACGTCGAACGTATATACTAGTGTAAAGTGTAAATAATTATTTTGACGACTGCAAGATCGTAATTATTCATAATAACTTACAAGTCTTTAATCAAAGAAATTTATTAGGTCCAAAACTTCTCAAATACCTGAAAGAAGTGATTCCGAGCCCGAAAGCTCGCTCTGAGAAGTGGGTCTCATCGTCTGTTCCTCAGCCATTGTGGAAGGATCCGAAAGCACAGTTGTGCTCTGCTGAATATCACACCAACAACTTACTCGTAAGTCTTTTGATTTTATGTTACCCTTAAAATATTTAACTATCAAATACGTATGTCACTTCTAATTCGCATTCAAAAGTTATATAACTTAGATATCAGTATTGATTTTTTTAATCGATAATAATGGGTATCTATAGATATTGCGTTTATTATTTTAATTATATAATAACTTAGAATATTTAACCGATTTTGCTGATTGAGTCTTTTATTTAAACTATTAAAGGTTATAATTATTTTACATATATTATAATCGTAGGCTGTTTATATCTTTATTCTATATTCAATTTATTTTTATTTGTTGCTGATACTGATACTAAAATTAGTATTTAAGTTGTTATACTAAAATGGATTTATGTTATATAAATGGAATAAATTATTATTATTATCTATAATATTAATTCATAAGACCCTCATTGCTGCCATAATTGTGTTCACTTACTATATACTTTGACTGCAGAGGCCAGTTCTCTTCGAAGAGACATCTCGTCTGATCCACCAAAATGCTATAACGATAGAAATAGCGCCTCATGGCTTACTCCAAGCTATACTGCGGCGATCACTAAAGAAGGATGTCACGAACGTACCACTCACACAGAAGAACGAGGACAATGTGACTGTTATGTTAAATGCTTTGGGCAAGTAAGTATAACTTTTTCATTAAATACACGAAAGCTTAAACTCCAAAAGAAAAGTAGAATATTAAAATTTAAAGTGTATTTCTAAATAGCTATGTTTTACTAAAATAAATAATTATCTCCGACATGTTTAACTATTATTGTCTAGACAAGTTGAAAACAACAATAACTATTAAGGTAGTTTTGCTATTTTACACAATAAAAAACATAAGTATATTATATACAATAAAAAACATAGATCGTCGTCGAGATTCGAATGAAAAGTTTGGTGGCAATAGTTTACCCATATCGCCGTTGATGCACTTTGTTCAAAACAGTCCATTTGTTTAACGGTTTTATCTTGAATTTATTCCCTGAAATAAAAAAAACAACTTTTCAGACTTTACCAAGCTGGATTGAACCCGAAACTGGCGAACATCTACCCACAAGTGCAATACCCGGTGTCCCTTGGTACACCAATGATCTCGCATCTCGTAGAATGGGAGCATAGTGAAGACTGGTAAGAATGTGCAGAAATTTGTCAAAAATTACCGAAATAATAAAAACTTGATAATAAAAAATTTAAACAATTTAAAAAGTTTGGTCCCTATGGCAGTGTACCTTTCCTCGGTGTATTGCGATACTTATGCGTTGAGCGAGGAAGCACCAGCTCTGAGGTCACCGGTACTATCTATTAGGCGCCAATTAAAATCTTTAATTAGCACCTGTGCCAAGTGCAAACCACGGAGTCTCTACTCCAAAGAAATGAAATCAAAGTTGGAGGAAAGAGGATTAATATTTTCTTCTTTCTCTGCGGCCGCGCCTGGATGTATGGCCGCACCTTCACTAGCCCACGCCGTGGCCCAGTCGTACAAATTTACAGACAATTACAACTTATAATCGTTACACCCCTGTCTGTAATATTCTTTATTGTTTTAGAATATTATATGACACAATTCAAATTAAGTTTCCGTTTTTGTTTAATATAAAAGATATATGGTATAACCTGAACCTGACGTTGCAAAATTGACCGCAAACCGCATAATATATTGGCTCAAACGAAAAACGAGCGGGTATCCCATTTTTCATCACTTATTGCGATGTTTCATAGGTCACCGCAAACTCTTTACGCGTTATTTCGAAACTGGATCATTAGTCCAAGAGCCTATAATTACTGCTAAAACTTATCAAACATAGATTGTTCAGTTGACCGATTGTTTCTACTTTTTTCAAGTAATAGAAATCATATTTTATTAAAAATTAATTAATGCGTTAAAATTACTCAGCATACTGAAACTATTTGACTTTTAATACTAATATAGACCCCTATCCATTTATTTGTATTATTTATACAATATACATTCTTGGCTACCGTAATTTGAAATTGTGAATAAATGGCTCTTGGACTACAATGCAATAAAGAGTCCAACTGTTATTAATAGCAGCTCATCAATCAGGGAACCGCAAACAAATAGCTAGGGCTGAGCAACTGCGTTCTTTGACTCCATGTGCTTAGGGTGTTTGGGGATTACCCATATTATGAAGGATAGATAGATTAATTCTTTAATGTACAGAAGAGTGAAAACAAACAGAACAAAAAACTTAAAAACTAGGTTACACAAAAAATATAATACAGTCCCTGAGGGTAGCACTTGTGTTATTTTTTATACTAATTATATAAATATGTACAAAAAAATATTGAGATAGATATATCACATTATTTTTCACAGGTTCGTGACCTCATACCGCGCTCATGAGAAGTTAAAGTCTGGAGAACGTACGGTCAGGATGTCGATCGTCGATGAGGACAGTGAATATATGGCCGGACACGTTATTGATGGTAAGAATGGATTTATATTTAATGCTGGAGCATAAAGAACTAATTCTACGCAGACAGAGGTTTAGTTAGAAGGTAATATGTAATCAATTTTGTTAAAATATCTCCGTCCTGTTTTTCTCCTAAACTAAACTTAGTTTTTAATCTAAATACAGTCTGATCTAGAAACGGCGCGTGATAACTGAAAAGACAAATCGCCAATAAGATGTTATTGAGTCTTACACTATTTCAAAATTTGATTATTTGTTTGAACTAACTAAATAACATCAGTGATTGCATTGGATAGGTCGGAACCTATACCCAGCGACTGGTTACCTTGTGATGGTATGGGAGACTCTTGGTTTGATAATGGGAGAGCTATACACCGAAGTATCTGTGGTCTTCGAAAATGTGAGGTTCCAGCGTGCTACTCCAATACCTAAAGACGGTAACCTGGAATTCATTGTCATGATACAGAAAGGCAGCGGAAACTTCGAAGTGAGTTCATTCAAATATTATTAAGTACTCTAGACAAAAATATTCCTGTGCTACTTCCAAAGTTTTGTTTCATCATATATCGGCCCTAAGACCGTCGCGCCAGTTAAATTAAAATTAAGTAAATCATGGAAAAGAATTTGCGATCGTAGTTATACATATATTTCGATCGTTTGAATACACAAACTCAAACTCATAGTCAACTTATTCTAGATACTCCGTATCAAGTCAATAAGTTCTAAGACTACACAGCGATGACGGCATACGCTGAAAAGCGCTAACGAAGTTATTCCGACCGTTATGGCTATATTCAAGTTCCAGACAATCAATGGTTGGACTGGTCAAACCTCCGTTTAGGTTGAAGGAAAATCGGCATTCCTCCACAGTAGATTTGCTTAAAATAGAAATGAATATTCTGTTTAGATTGTCGAGAGCGGTGCATCTATTGTATCTGGTCGCATCTACGCAAAGAAGAACGTTGGCAAGGACTACCGTGTGCTCCAAGCAGCACCTGAAGACACTGGAGTAAACGTGAAGCATATGCTCACTAAAGACTTCTACAAGGAGTTGAGATTGAGAGGCTATCAATACAGGTAAACATTGCATATCATTCTAACCATTAAGACTCCAGAAGTTTTAGAAGAAACTTTAAAAATGGGAGCTTCCTACTTCATCATTTATGTACATTTACCCTGCTAGTTCCACTTATAATAAACTTAAAAATAACCACAATCGACCATGTCTTAAAAACAAAAACACTTTCAGTCAGATAATCAACTAAATTTGAGCCATTAATAGACACACTTCGATTAAAATATGTCTAAAATCTTTTAAATATATATGTACACATATTTCTTTTTAAATGTCAAAAGTCGCTAATATTATCTTATCATCCCTACGCATTTCCAATATAAATATATTCTATTGCACTTTTTTCAGCGGTCTCTTCCGAGGTGTGATTGGTTGCAACATCGAAGGAACTCGGGGTCGTGTCGCTTGGGTCAACAATTGGGTCACCTTCATGGACTGCATGTTGCAGCTCAAGATCGTCGGAAATGACACCCGTGGTCTCTTTGTACCGACTAGAATTGAGAAACTCTGCATAGACGCCACAATGCATTATGACGCGGTATCGAAAATGAATCAAGTATCGGATAGGCAATCGTTCGAAGTACGAGTGTACCCAGATGTGGATGTTGTCAGGTAATTCATTGTAAATATGTATAATCCTCGATTTGCTCACTAATTGTTTGAAGAAATTGATACAAGATACAAATCTCTTGACTAACAATTCTAGATATTAACTCATACCTAAGTTTACTAGTCAAGGAAATAAATCATATGTCAATCACATAAAGAAATTAAGAGAACATTCGATTTGCATACCTATTTTTGTAAACCTATCATCCGTATTTAGAGCCGGTGGTGTCGAAGTCCGTGGCCTCCACGCTTCTCCTATCTCCAGAAAAATCCCTCTTGGTGTTCCTGTTTTGGAGAAGAACATATTTGTACCTAACTGTGCAAAAACTAAGATGACGGTATGATATACTACTGTACTTAATAGTTCATTTTAAAATTCAATTTACAGTTTTCGTATTTAAGTATAACTACGGCCCTTTCAAAAAGTCTAATTATTTTATGTCACTTTTGTTTTAATGTTGTACAGAAATAAATATGTTATACTAAACAACCTTGGATATTATAATAATGGCTTATGGGATTAAATGTTTAAACAATTGGATTATGCCAATAATTAAGCTTTTAAACAAATAACGAGTAAAAAACTGATTATGTTCCTCATACTTTTAACCATAGGTCGAAGAAATACTCAGAGCCAACATACAACTCATTCTCGAGAATATCCAAACATTCAAAGTAAAAAGTATTGAATTCGTCGATGAGGAATACAAAACGAACGGCTACGAACCAATTATAGAAAAAATTAGCGACGTTCTTGAAGACTTACCTCTTATACAACCAGAACTATTACTTATCTCAGAAGATACTATTGAAATGCCATCGCACATAGTTGTTGAAAATAAGAAGGTTGCTGGAGAAAGCAACACAGTCTTATTTATTGGTGCTAATCTTCTGAACAGACCTGAGGTAGGTAAAATACATACTCATATTATTATAAAACGACAATTCTTGTTTTCTTAAAACGTTTTTTCATCTAGGTCCTGCAACAAGCTATATCAACACTGCGAGACAAATGTTTTATAATCAGTCGTGAAAAGCAACGTCCAAACCCTAAAGACCACGCCGATAAATACGATATCGTTACTATTCAAGATACTGGCGTTGAATACTTGGTCCTATTTAGAAAACGTGTCAGTGCCAAACCAGCAAAATTCATTCATGTTAAAACAGCCGATCAATCATACGCGTGGATTGAACAAGTTAAGGAAGAATTGAAGTCGGGCCAGAAAATTGTCATTTATAACCAAGATGAGGCACTCAACGGACTTTTGGGTCTTGTGAATTGTTTAAGAAGGGAGCCGGGTGGCGAGGTTGTATATGGTTTGCTAATCGCTGACCCTGCCGCTCCAACATTCAATCCTGATTTGGAATTCTATGAAGAGCAGTTGGATAAGGATTTGGCCATTAATATTTATCAAGATGTAAGTCTTTAATATCTTTAAACTAATAAAAAAAACGAATGATGCTTTCAGTATATATATGTGAGTATCAATCATATATTAATTGATGGGAAGCAAAATTAAAATTTGATTGCTAAAAATATATATATATGTGTTAAATAATGAAATATTTTAGGGCCAATGGGGAAGCTACCGTCATTTATTACTAGGAGACTTAGAAACAGTTAGCGCTAGCCATGGATTCGTGAACACAACCACTATCGGAGACCTTTCTTCGCTCAGATGGCTCGAAGGACCAATTAGACAGAATCAGATTTTCAAGAATCCAGATAGTATTCTTATTCAAGTAAGTTATAGATTAATATTTAGTTTATGTACTATTATTCGAAATCATATCTATATATATATATGTATATAGGTATTGTCTGAGAATATCGCATAGTGGTTTATGACTTATATTAACAGATTTTTAATTATTATAATCCTCTTCGACAGGTCTATTGTGCAGCGCTGAACTTCCGTGACGTAATGACAGCTTTGGGTCGAGTCACAGTGGACGCCGTTGCACGAGGGCGTCTTGCGCAAGAGTGCGTGCAAGGTTTCGAAATCGTCGGCAGAATACCTAAGTAAGGCTTTAGTTAATTTAGCTTAATATACAAAATAACTGAGAAGCATAGGAGTCTGATAAGTGATCGGCTTTCTGTCAAAGCAGTAATAGCCTATACCTAATGAAATTTAAACAACAAAAACATACAGAAATCTGAGGCGAAGAGGTTGTAGCGCTATTGGTTATTTCTTTATATTTACAAAACATAAATACTTTTGGGTGAACAAAAAACATACTTAGTCTAGAAATAATAAATCTTACTCGTCTAATTACTCGCAACAGTGGTTCCCGGGTAATGGCTATGGTCCGTAACAGCGGTATGGCAAATATGGTAGAGGCAGACCGAGCTCTCTTGTGGTGTATCCCTAATGAATGGACCTTCGAGGAGGCTGCTACAGTACCAGTAGCATACAGCACCGTTTACTATGCTATGGTAAGTCTTATATACTAAGTAATTTAACATTCTAAATAATAAGTATAACGGTTTCAAAAAGTATTTTGAATGTTTAAGTTTTATTTACTAATGAATTATTAAAATTAACGTATTGTAAAACACAGCGCTTTAATAAATAACTAATTCAATTGTAAGCATATTTTAAAAAGCTTCCTGTATAGGTCATGGTGGGTCAAATGCAACGCGGTGAATCAGTTCTGATCCACGCTGGTTCTGGAGGTGTGGGTCAAGCCGCGATCAATATGGCATTGCATTATGGCTGTGAGGTATTCACTACCGTGGGTACAGCTGAGAAGAGAGCCTTCGTCAAAAAACTTTTCCCGCAACTTAAAGGTTAGATATACGAGTATATATTTTTTATTAGTGAATCTTTTTGTGGATACATCCAATGTGTTTATTTTATGTTTTATTTATATTGTATAGATGTATCTGTTTTGTTTCCAAATAAATAAATAAATTAACCTAACATTAAGGAGTTTTAGGTTACGTGTTACGTCGATAATTTGATTTTCGTGTCTTCTTAAAGTTGTTGAAATATTATTTTAACATGGGAAATGTGGTGACTTTCTCAGACAGTCACATCGGTAACTCTCGTGACAGCTCATTCGAAGACATGATCCGACGGGAGACCAACGGCAAGGGAGTTGATATGGTACTCAACTCTTTGTCTGATGACAAACTGCAGGTATTTACGGATCTTTGTGTTGCTTTACATTTAAATACTTTTAAGATTCACTATTTTCAAGGTTTAACATCATCATGCAATCCTTATGTGGTATTATTAAGTGTGTGGTGTTAAAATTATTACTAAATTGTTGAGTCTTAATTTTGAAAAGCAGTTAGTTTACCAGTTATTCTTTTTAACTAGTAAAGATTATAAATTCGAATAACTACTATTCTTCTTATTATAATTTTTTTTAAATATTCAAATAGAGTATTTACAATATTCCTTCCTAACGAATTATACTTTAAAGTGGATTAATAGAAAACTATAATCAATTTAAAAAGTTTGGTCCCTATGGCAGTGTACCTTAAATGCTGGCAGCATTACCGCGCTATAATGCGATACTAATTCTTCTTATTATGAGTTAGGCGTGACTTATATGAGATCTCCCGGAATTATACAAACTTATCTTACTGTAATAAATGTATTCTACCAGGCCTCAGTCCGCTGTCTTGGGTTTCGCGGTCGTTTCCTTGAAATCGGTAAATTCGACATCAGTAACAACACTCCCATCGGGATGTCCTTCTTCCTCAAAGAGACCTCCTTCCACGGAATTATGTTGGACTACATCTTCGACAATAGCTTCGTCTTCAGAAAGGTTTGTTATTACATTCACTTTAATATTTGTTCATTAAAATACCGTATAAATATGAAAAAATTAGCTTTATGAATTTTTATACAAATATTTTCGCTTCAGTGTTTAATGTTGCCGTATAGCTCTCTATTTATTTAAATTGTTATATAATAATTTGCTTTATACAGAGGTTGCAAAATCTCCTACTGTCGGGAATTGAAAGTGGTGCGGTCCGTCCCTTGACGTACTGTACGTTCCAGAAGAACGAAGTCGAAAGTGCCTTTAGGTACATGGCGGCTGGAAAGCATATTGGAAAGGTAAATAGTATACTATTTAATACATTATGTATTTGTATTATAAATATGTATCATTATACTAATCCCTTTATCTTTTTTTATTTTGCAGGTAATCATAAAGATCCGTGATGAAGAACAAACCAACCGCCCAGTTAAGCCTACTTACATGCCAGCCGATGTTTTGCCCAGGTAAATATAAATAAATAACGGATATAAATATCAAATAACGTTATATTTATAATATTTTTATGATCATACGATTTACATCTCTTTTGTTGGGTTTATCTTCCTCTTTATGTACTTCTCTTCGCTTCGCTTTGATGAGAAGAAGTGCGATAAATAAATCACTTTTAACAACTCACCTGGCAAGAGTCTCGGCATATTTACATGATATAAAAATTATTCGTTATAATTATATCCAAATAAACTTTGTACTTATTTACAATCAAGTATTCAGTATTTACAATTTATTTACCCTACAAAGTGATAATAAAAATTATTAAAAAGCAAATCAAAACAAATTATAAAAACAAAAAATATTAACAAATTATTATTATATTAGATATATTTTTGCAATATGAACGTTTTCTACATACTTTAAATATTACTTTGTGCCGCAGATACATGTGTCAGGACGACATGTGTTACGTTGTGGTGGGAGGTCTGGGTGGTTTCGGTCTGGAGTTAGCAGATTGGCTTATCCTTAGAGGCGCGAGAAAAGTGCTTCTCACGTCTAGAAGAGGCATCTCTAATGGTTACCAATCATCCAGAATGAGGTATAGTAAATTGTCTCTGATAATACTAGTGATAATGAGGGTCTATAACATATGATATATATATATAAATAAAATATGTTACCTCTGATTGTTAGGAAACAGTCTTTGTAGCTTAGTACTTATAGATTTCTTGGACGTTTAAAAAGCCTTACTTTTCTATTATTATTGAAATTTTATAAGGTTTTCTTTCATTTATTTTAAAGTATCAAAGTATTTGATGGTACGAAATCCCCGTGATATATCATTGGCCTTAAGTTATTGTTTGCAAGTTCTTACTAGGTGCGATAAAATGACATCAATGATACAATCGCAAGGCAAAGTATTTCGTCCCGAAACCTATTTAGATAATTTTAATCCGTGTTCTTCAGGACATGGGCTAGTTATGGCGCTGATGTGCAAATTTCAACCCATGATGTTACAACTGATGAGGGTTGCGAAAATATGCTTAAAATGGCAGAAGAAATGGGCCCTGTAGAAGCAATATTTAACTTGGCCGTAATTCTTAAAGATTCCATATTCCAAAACCAAACCCCGGAGACCTTTAAGACTTCTTACGGACCCAAAGCTCAAGCTACAATCTACTTGGATAAACACTCAAGAACACTATGCCCGAAATTAAAGTAAGTTTGCCTTAATGTTTTCTAAGGTTCAGCTTTTTTAGACAATTTTTTTGAAGTTATACTTTTTTGGTGCGTTAGGGAAAAAGGATGAGAATAAATATTTACGATGCGCGCGCACATCGTCACAAAAAACCGACACCCTGAAGTAATAGCTATAGTCAACATTTTAGTATTTCCTATTGTTAGTGTCGTTTTTAATACAAACAAAAATCATTTTTTTGAAAAGATTTTTATCTTGTTACGCCAAAGAAGTATAACTATTGTATAACTAAAAGTATATAATAAGCGCATAAGTACACACACGTTTTGTTTTAGATATTATATTTACCTGACTATCATAAGGTATATCTATCAATGATTCAGAATTTTAAAGGAAAAGAAGTTGATGCTGTCAAAATCAGAATCCATTCTTTATTATAGGTCGGTTATCGAAAGCTGGCGCGTTCACAGTACTCACACTAATGCAATTTCACTATCGACAGTAAGTTTAAAAAAATTTTGACTTTAATTTGCCAAGCTATATTTAGTCTACTCTGGTTTTAGTAAGGTTGGGTGGGTTGTAAATAAATAAAAATGTGTCAAATACATATAAATATTATGTGCAAACGAGGGTGGATCCAAAAGTTCTAAGCCCGACCAAGAACGTAAAAGAGTAGTTTGTGTAAATATTTTTTTTATTTTTCGACATAAGCTCCATCTAGCTCAACACACTTCACTTTTACTTCACTAACAATTCTTTCAATACTCCTCTTAGAAACACCTGTCGCATCTGATGTCAAATTAATTTTTTTTATTTTTTATTAAGATGCTTAAAATAATTAAAAACATTGTACACCATTTCACGAGATTGTCCTGTTAATGTTTAGACGGAATATATTTCATAAGACATTTTTTTCAAAGTATTCTAACCTCCAACCAAATAAGTAAACAATCACAGACAAAATAATAATGAGAAAAAAGATCAACATGTACAGTAAAGATCAACATAAACAGTAGCAAAAGCAAAACAATAACTGTCTCTTTTATACTCATAAGCTTGAACAAGCGCGAGAGAGACGGACAGTCTTTTCATGATGCATGTTCAGTGTGACATCACGCCTTGCGCTTATTCACAGACACTACACAAGCACAAAGCGTCAATGTGTTGAAGCCGCCAGCTTTAGATAACATACCAATACAGCAGGTTCTCTGTCTATAAAGCTTTCTTGTTATATTGATACGCGTATAATACAATAAATTTGTATCACACAATGCTTAGGATTTTCGCAAAAACTTAAAAACTCTATCAAACGACTTAAATTAAGTAATACAGTCATATCACTTACGTAAACTTTGTAACAGGGACTTCGTGATTTTCTCATCGGTGTCCTGCGGCCGTGGTAACGCTGGTCAAACTAACTATGGATTCTCTAATTCGGTAATGGAGAGGATCTGCGAACTAAGGAAGAGAGAGGGTCTTCCAGCGCTAGCCGTACAATGGGGAGCTGTCGGAGATGTGAGTTTTAAAAATCATTCATAAACACTAAATTAGTCAAACTAAAACCTAATAATATTCACATGTTTTATTATCAATCCTCAGGTGGGTTTAGTAGCAGATATGCAAGATAAGGACATTCAATTGGAGATCGGCGGAACTCTCCAACAAAGGATCTCTTCTTGTCTCCTCGCTTTAGACAAGTTCCTGAAACAGGACGCTGCAATCGTATCATCTATTGTAGTTGCTGAAAAGAGGATTGGAGGATCGGGACGTGGAAACATTGTGGACGCTGTCGCTCAAATTATGGGTACACTAACATTTTTCACAAACTGATTGATTGTTTTTGATTGTCATTGTTTTCGATATTTTTATATTTAAATTTATTCTTCCTTATTGCTTTCTATGTGTTCTCTGTCTGTATAAACTTCTGACAGACATTTTAGTTGGAATTCTAATTGTTTGCTTATTCTTACTCCTAAAGTAGATACTTGCTCAATCCTTTCTTCTAGTTATTATCTATATCCTAACAGGTATCAAGGATCTTAAGACAGTTTCCCAACAAGTATCACTTGCCGAGCTTGGTATGGACAGTATGATGGCAGTGGAAATCAAACAGACACTAGAAAGAGAATTCGAGGTCTTCTTGACAGCTCAAGACATTAGAACTTTAACATTTGGCAGGTAACCAACAACATTTTTATTATTACAAAAAAATATATTCTCAATTTCTACTAAATCGTTGTTTTCATAAACATTTTTTGCAGTACTGACAATTACAGCGTTAAGACACAAATGACATTCCTTTAAATTCTTACAGATTAGTAGAGATAACAGCACAAAGAGAAGCAGCTACGACAATTCAGACGGTTGCTGTTCAACCGGTTATCTTCGATGCTGCAGTTGGTATGAAAGTTCTGATGAGAAACTTTGGTGATGAAAAGGACCTTTCAGAGCCCTTCATATTCATGCCGACGTTAGTTAGCGATGGCACTGAGGTACACCTAATTAATAATAAATACTTGAGTAATAATATATGTATCGAACAGATTCAAACTTAATCCTTAACTTAAACTTAAATTTATATCCGAATTATCTCAAAGTGAACAGTGAGCTAACTAAATCTGTATATTCCGTTTCATTAATATTATTTATTATCTTCAACAGTCTGATGTTATTAACAAGGACGAAAAAGTTATGTTCATGTTACCGGGTCTTGAAGGAACGGCCGCTACCATGAAACCGCTTTGTAAGAGGCTCAAAATCAAGTGCTGCGTCCTACAATATGGCACAGAGAATAAAAACGACGACATCGATAGTATGGTCGAAAGACTTTACGAGGTAAGTTGATTGTATAATAACAATATATCATGTCTCACCAATTTGATTGGTCATTCATATATTATTATAAAAAAAGAGGAAGAACTTAAATGTCTTCAAATACACAGCTATTTAATTTTGTTTTAACATAATTAAGTCTTAATGTTGACCAACCCCAATTAGTCATACCTATACATTATATAATATAATATAGGCACAGATAATTATGACAAAAGCATTGAAACTATTTATGTATTGAAAATGTATGCAATTATATGTTTTATTATTAATAAATTAACTTTGACTGGGACTTTAAAAATATATCCTATAGTCTATACCTTTTTATTTGTCTAAATCTTTTGTTCGTTTTTGCAGACGGTCAAACTTCGACTTAACCCAGGAGCGCAATTCACACTTCTTGGATACAGTTTTGGTTCCTCACTTGCTTTGAAGCTTATGGAAAGACTCGAAAATGAAGGTACTGCTTTAGAATTTTTAATTATCTTTAGGATCGACAGGTTAGATGCAACATGACCCAATAGATTGCATTTGCATCACTACTTTAAAAATCTATATTGCTTATTTATGTACAAGTGAAACACGTAGATACTCTTAATAGTTTAAATTAAAGAACACCAACGTTTTGTGTCATAATATTATTACTATGGAATAATATTACAATATTTTACTTTTTTCAGGTCATCAAGGTTCGTTATTCCTTGTCGACGGTTCACCCGATTTCTTATACGGGTTCCTCACTGTGTTAATGGACATTCAAAATGATACTCAGCTTCAGAACGGTCTTATTTGTCACGTAATTGACTTGGTAGCTCCCAACAACGAAATCCCAGATCTCATGGAAAGACTTAATGAAATCGAGACATATGATGATAGAATCCAGTACGCCGTAAAGGCATGCCCTGCTCAACACAATTACTCCGATAAATTCATTGCCGACATGTCAATTGCCGGCTTTAATAGAATGAAAATAATTACCAACTTAAAAAATCTAAGTTTCAAGAAACTTAAAACGCCTATCACCCTTCTTCGTCCTAACCAAATTCCACCGTTCCTTGCAATTGAAGAGAACTATGGTTTAGACAAATTTACGGAAGGTAAAGTCACCATACACTTATTGGAAGGCAATCATCACTCTATACTGGAAAACAAAGACTGTGCTACCATTATTAATGGAGAGTTATTAACAAACGACTCGTCAAGCATGAAAGCAGAAAGCAATGTTATTACAAATATGATAGAAAAAGAACGCTCTCTTCAAGTTTAATTGACATTGTTTATTATAAGACCGGTTATTCGGACTTATTAAAGAGAAAAGTTATAGTAATTATAGGTCTTACAGGTGGTTTACCTGTAAATTTTAATCTCTTTACAAAGAGGACCTGCAGTACCTACCAAATCATCATTAAATAGAATATCGTTAATCAAGTTGTATAGTTAACTTTTATTTATTTTTTTAGGATTATCTTGGGTATAATTTGGGGGCAAAGCGAATAAAGTATTTTGTTACAGACGGTGTTTTATTTAGTCGCTTCACCATAAACTTTTGACTAAACGAATTTTTTACTAATCACTTTTTATTACTTTTTTATCAAACAATAAAAATTAATAACACCCTATTACAAAGTTATGGAACACAAAACTGGAATATTATGGTTTAAAATTATCGCATTGTACTGAACAACTGCAGGCAAACGCAGTTCGCCTGCGATTATTATGTTCTATGTACACCATTATTTTGTAGTTGTTTGAGACGCAGCAAATGTTTAAAAATAAATTTTTAATATCAAAAATGATAGTCGCTTCAGCATAAAGCTAATAATAAAAAAGGTTAACACTGTGTTTCTTTTTTTTTTCAATTTTTATCCCTAGTAGGACTCGTACGTGTCATTCACAATTAAAATGCATTGGAATAGCTGATTGGCAATACATTTTTCTCATATCTTCATCATCAGGTAATGACTAATCCTAGCTAGAGCTAGCATGATTTCATGGATTCACCCGCACCTATTTTCAGGTGATTACTACACAGTGTTAGGTTAATTATCTCCCATTAACTAGATAGATAGATTAGATAATAGAAAAAGTTTTTTATTTTAGTATAATATTTTAAATAATTGTCTTATAGTATTTGGTGGGACAACTAATAGGGTATAATGCAGTCATATTTCTACGCGTTTCATTAATAATAATTTATCTTTATAGAAAAGATAACACACGATGGTTTTCGTGTGTTTTTTCTATATGCAGTACCGGCATGTTTTAGAAACAATCGTTAAACTTCGTCCAAAAGAGAAAACTATCGTTAAGCGTTGAAACGCGTCGTGCGTTTAGGGCTTTGCGACACACACGCTTGCGCACACAAATCCCAGATTTTTCCTGAGGCTAGCAGTATGCGCTGGCGGGTTAATTTTGATAATTTATTTATATTAGTCCCTTCCGGAAAAAAAACTATCAACTTCATGTATAAAAATGTATTATATTACATAAGTTATAAATGTTATGACACATATTATAGGGGAAAAGCCGGATAGTTGCCCCACTTTTCGAAAAAGCTTTATATTTTTTAAATATGAACTTGCTGAAAATTATTTAGTATGTATCTCGCAACATAGGTCTTTTATCTTCTATAAAAGCCTATTTTTGTATACATAATTAACCATGGTTTTGAATAAATACTGTTTTATTTCACCTCTCAGAAAAGGGATAGTTGCCTACTATGGCGGATAGTAGCCTAGCGTAGAAAATGCTTCGGGGGATACTTGCCTCGTGCGTTTTTATTTTGGATAGAAAGAAATTTATATCAATTAGAGTAATCTTTATTATTTATTTAACAGTCTTTATAATTTACTGAGATCTTTTATTAAGTACAATTTGAAATATTAAGAAACAACAGTAATTTTTTTCTCCCTTTTCACCGGAAGTAACTGATTTAACTGCTTTAGTCACCTTTCTTAGCTAATACTTTACGAATTTTATTATTGAGTTGGACACCGCTTTCATCCATGTTAAATATTTTATCTGACTTATCCAGCAAATTATTCTCAGTTAAAATAGTTGTTAAGAGTTTGAAAAAATTTGCAACTTCTGTTCTGTTGAGACCCTAATAATAATAATAATAATAATAATAAAGCCTTTAATCAGATAGAAAATAATTACATAATTTTAAACTTAAACTTAACACTAGTGAGTCGGTGACACCTTTTTTGCATTTTAGTGAGTGCCCAAGTTTGGCAGCCGTATGTTAATACCGGAAGTATGCAAGTGTTATACAGCTTTGATTTGACATTTATTTTTATTTCTGTGTTTTTCATGATTTCGCTAAGCCCCCAGTAACATTTCCACGCTTTCCCAATTCTTGTATCAATTTCCTTCGACATTATACCAGTGGTTGAGATCTGTTGGCCCAGGTATGTGTACTCTTTCACATAATCAATTGACTCTCCATTTACTATAATAATATCTTCTGATGCATTCGTCATGGCTTTAGTTTTTGAGGTGTTCATTGTTAGCCCTACCTTGCGGCTTTTCCTCTCCAGGTCTGTAATCATAATTCTTAGATGCTCTCATCTAAGAGCATCTAAGAGCATCTAAGAGCATCTAAGAATTATGTTGAGACCCTACGCTCTTTCAATTGATAAACCCTCAGCTTGTCTCAAAGTTATATCAGGATTTCTTTCAAGAAAGCTTTTTAGCCATTGAGGTCCATTTTACTCTCATTAATAAAGTTGTGCTTTAATCCCAACTTTGTCTCAATTTTTCGAAGGCAAGTGCTAAGCTATCTTCTGTTCAGTTGATGTTGATGAGGCTTTTGCTTATCTATAATAAATATATAAAACTGTGAAGTAGATATTTATTTAATTTACAACAAGTAAAAGACAAAGTAAATTTGAATAAACATCAAAAAAACAGCAAAAAAATAAAATCCGTCTTTGCTTGTTAAGAAATTTTTAGTCACTCTAGGGGCAACTATCCGCGACAGTAAGTGGGGCAACTATCCTTTTTGATGCGGATACTTGCCCTTTTTATTTGCGAAATAAATAAAAATTATTTAGCAATAAAACATGATAAACAGTGTAATTTAAACTCTAATGCATGCAAAGAAACAAAAAGTTGACTGAAACCACGATCAGTAATAAAAATATTCAATAGAAATCACTTACCAATATAATTATAACGCCCGTCAAAGTTTCGCCGCGGAAGATTTTTGCTCACACGGACAAAACACTTGGGCCTATTCCGATGGCTTACGTGGCATTTAGGCCTGAGGGGCAGTCACTACTTATTGTAGTAAAGCGCCAATACAACTTATAATCCTAACATAGTTTTTTAAACACCGGGGCATGTATCCGTCCGAGGCAACTATCCGGCTTTTACCCTACTGGCTTAATTATTTTGTTTTACAAGAGCAAATATCACGCGGGCACCAGCGTTATAATGCTAGATATAAATAAAAATACTTGTTTTATCACAGAATGAAATGTGTCAAAATGCTATTATTTCTTTGAAGGTCCAACAAATTAAAGCAAGCCGAAGATTTTATATATTATATTGTTCTAAAAACAAATGAATAAAATATTTTGTCTGCTAAAATGTCTTGAAATGCGAATGTTAGGAGAGATAGCCTTAGTCTCGTTCCCTTCCGAGGTTAAATGCAGAAAATTAAAAATTATCTTGCACAGATTGTCTGGAGCGACAACGTTTACTTTGCATATAACAAGCTGGCTTACGTCCAAGTTTCACGTGTACCAAATTAATAATTTTCGTATCATTCTCGAACAGTCATTAAAATGGCAGGGGGAGATATGATCTTACCTTTCTTGATTTTGAAAAAGCATTCAATACGCTGAGATGAAGTAGCATATGGTCGCGACTCTCTAACATTGGTGTCTTGCCGAAGACGATTAACCTACTAAAGGCCATCTACAGGAATTATTATTGTAAAGTGACTCATTATGCTCTCATCTCAAACGATATTTACGAGCACGCGGCCGTTTGACAAGGCTGTTCCCGCCACACCTTTTCTTGGTTGTTCTCGAAGGGATTATGCATCGTACACATCGCATATGCGATGCGGCATAAACTGGGGGCTAACCAACATCTTAGAAGATTTAGATTATGCCGATGACCTATGTCTGCTAAGTGACACGCATCGCGACATGCAATCTAAGTTGACCTGGAATGCAGGGCTGGATCTGCGAGACTCAAAATTAACACCCAGAACACAAAAGAAATGCGTGTAGGAGTTGAGAACAGCACTCCATTGCGTATACTGTAGAGAACGTGTGGAACGCGTTCATAAATTAGTTTATCTCGTAAGCGTTGTATCTGAAACCGGAAGTATTAAAGAAGACATTACTTCACGCATTGGTAAGAGCCGAGAAACCTTCGCAAAACTTCAGCCTGTATTGCAATCACGGAAGTTGACGCGTCGACTCAAGGTTAAAATATTTGGATCCAAAGTCAAATCTGTGCTGCCGGGTGGTCAGTTACGACATCCCTTACCGAGTCTCGTCAACCGCTGTCTTCGCGGTATTCTGGTTATCTACTGGCCCGAGAAGATCTCCAATGAGCAACTTTAGGCGCGCTGCTGAGAAACCCCGATTAGTCTGCTGATCAAGCGACTCCAAAAATTGCGTTACGTAACTTGGACGCTCCCTTAGATAAAAACTAAATTATTCATATAATACAAAAGTGTGGGTAGTGTAAACACGCATTGGTGTATCTCTCTCTGTGTTTTGTGCTAATTAAAAATAGTTTCTTAACTCAAATTATACTTACAGTGTTTGTGATGTACTAGTGTTGTATTGCATATGAATCGCTAATTGTTCCTTAATTATATCCTTCAGATAACAATAATTATCCCAAAGAAAAATTTCTTGTTGTAAACTACCTTCATCTTTTATTTCTCAACAACCTATTTAATTATTATGGAAGAACTAAAAATGTTATAGATGGATGTGTCTGTAATGGTGTCCTCTAAAAATGGATGAGTTCCAGCAACGGCTTCTGGCAGCACAGGAAAGGTCTCCATCCCTCGAGCAAACACCACTAACTAGGGAGTTTGAGGCATTCAAAAGCTCAGTACTGTTCTGTCTCAAGAATCTCCAGGCTCAGATGGAAATTCTTTTTAAGGTGCAAGAGGAGCAGGAAATGCGCAGCACGCGTAAGTGTTTGTTGTTACATGGCATTAATGAGTCTAAGGATGAGAACCCAGGGACAATTGCTAACATATTACCCGTTCTGCTCAAATGCCCTAATATAAGTGAAGCTAGTTTTAGTCGGTGTCACAGAGTGGGTATAAGACGTGATGATAAGCCTCGCCCTGTACTAATTAAGCTAAGGGAACATTGTGACAAGGACAAAATTTGGTTGCCTAAGTCTGGTTTAAAGGGGACCGGCATCACCATATCCGAGTTTCTGACCAAAACCAGGCATTATTTGTTTATGGCTGCAAGAAGGCATTTCGGAATCAGCGTTGGACCAGGAATGGCCACATATATGTTATTGGGGCTAACGGTGAGCGTCGCCGTGTAAATTCAATGAAAGATGTTGATACGGCTCCTGCATCCATCTACTAACGATTCTAAGGTAACATCACCCAAGTTAAAATCTCGAACCAGGAAGATCGCAAAGAACTGATTACGAGTGGGTTACTTCAACTTCATATTATGTTTTGTTACTTGCTGAACTGCACACTTAGCATAACTTTGAATTTTCTGTAATATAATGCAATTACCAACTTTTGATGTTTAATTTAGTTTTAATAACTTGTGTGGGTAATATTTGTATGTGATTTTCTTATATTTCTATGTTTAATTGTGTTTATTTAATTAAGACGCTAATTGTTTGATTCATTGACACTGTCGTCTGTCACACTGTATGTCAACTGTCACTTCCACTAACTAGAAAAATTACTGTATATACATATTTACTCATGAATGTAGTCTGTGAAGCCTTCCTATAAAATGCCCTAGAGTGGGGCCACAGCAGGGGGTCTAGCCAAGATGGCTTAACAGTAGTGTATGTAGAAAGTCGAAAACTAAATTTGTATGGAAATGACAGTTCGTGTCGAAAAGTTTTCATACAAATTTAGTTTTTGACATTCTACATACACTACTGTTAAGGCATCTTGACTAAGGCCCCTGATATCTCTTAGTTAAGTGGTTGTACTGAGTTGTATATTCTTATTATTAATATTGTAGATTAAACCCTCTAGATACACATATTTCCTTGTTAAACAGTTTTTAGAAATAGTTATAATTAGTCTCTTTAGCTCTTTAAGATTTACAGAAGATATTCTTACAGTGTATATCAATATTATCCGTTCACTACTTCTATATCATTGCTAATACCTATTGTTGTACTTATCCTTACATATCAGCGGTTGAGTGCGATCGTAAGAACATCTTTTTTTTAATTTTATTTTTAAAGTTTAAGCGTTTATATACTTGTATTTATTTGATTTTAGTTAACTTTTAGATTAGTTTTTATTTTTATTATCATACTTTTGTTAATCATGGATTGCAGTAGTGATAACTCTGATTTCTTATCTCTGGAATCGTCCGATTGTGACTCCTTCCATAGCATTGACTCCTCCACGCCTACCCTAAATAATACCTTATCCTCTATTTTTCAAAACTTGCCTAAGCCCTTCAACGTTGTACACATTAACGCTCAGAGCGTTCCAGCTCATCACACAGATCTGCTTACGTTGGCCTCTAAAGACATCCATGCCATACTTATTTCTGAAACTTGGTTCAATCCTTCCCTCTCCTCTGGTACTTACTCTCTTCCTGGTTACAATTTAATTAGAAATGACAGACTCGGCATGCGTGGAGGTGGTGTGGCAATTTACTTACGTTCTCACATCCCCTTCTCCATCATTAACTCATCGCCACAGCCTCCACCTAGCAATGCAGCCGAGCATCTCCTTATCGTAGTTCTTCTATCCAACTCTTAGCTTCTCCTGGGAGTCTTCTATTCCCCTTCATCATCGGTGGACTACTTTGATTCCTTTGAAGACACCATTGACCAATTTTCTCCCTTATATAAAAACACAATAGTCATGGGTGACTTTAACACATGCCTGCTGAAAAATGATTCTCGCTCCAGACGGCTCCTTTCTTTAACTCAATCTTACAACCTACAAAACTTATATCTTAACGCTACGCATAATACAAAAGTTATTTTACTGCCTATCATGTATGATTTAACATTAAACATATCTTTCTAATTCGCTTATTTTTATATAAAGAGTTCTAAAATTACTTACAAAAAGATTATATAAACTTAAAACATATGTAGAGTATACTGCATTATTTTCTTTAGTACTTATGTCTTTTAACATTTTTTCTACACGTTTTAGTCTTTCGTCCATAATTTTGAGTTATTGTGTAATACTTCTGATGAATTAATGAGTCCATCTAACATTTTGGAAACAACTGTTAAACGCTTGTTTGTGGAAATTTTGTTGATTACCTAATTGATTTATTAACTGTTCATATCGTGGAGCATCTTCCTGATCTAAGTTTCCAGTTATAATTTTAATAATAGCGCCTAGAGGGTTCAATATTCCTCTTCGTACTCGGTGTGAAGGGATTCTTTGCCTAATCTTTTCAGTAGTTATACTCTACTTGTTCCCTAATTCCTAAAAATTCTTTAAACTAAGGCTTATCATCACTTACTATCTTACTAAAATTACTATATTTCCTATTGTTATATTCTAATTCCATCAGTAGGCCATTTAAATCTAATACCTTAAAAATAAGCCAGTTATCCTGTTGGATGAAGGCTGTTCCCTGTCTTACGGATCCCTGGATTGTTTTCAACCTTTTGAAGTTGAAGGCCCAGGCTGGGGCTCGTGAGTGTCGTCATGATCACTAAGCACCACCTTTGAAGGTCGTTTTATGTTTTTAATTGGTACTTTTTGTGTTTACCTCTAATTGTAATAGGGATGGTGTTTCTTTCAGGTTTTCCTGTAACTATGGCCTTTTCAAAACAAGGTTTGTCCTTACTTCTGCGAGTGTTTATTAATTTTGTGAAAATTGTTTTCCCTTCTGGTAACGGGACGTCGGATTCGCCACCGCGTTTTTCTGTAGAGTTTTAAACGTTAACATTTTATCAGATATGTATTTGTATAAAACTTTCATTCTTTTGGCGTGGTCTTTAATTAATTTTTGCAAGTATTGTTTCTCGAAGTCTATATTGAATGGTTTTTCAGAATCTACATGGCCAAACACTACTTCAAACGGTGTTAAAGTTGTTACAGTATGAATCGCATTATTATATGCCATGTTAGAGTAGGTCATAATAGATGCGGCGTCGGTACATTGTTGTTCGTATTTTGCCAGTCTGTAAATTTCAATTAAGGTGGAATGAAAACGTTCAACTATTCCCATTGAATTAGGGTTCCTAGGCGTGCCGATATGTATTTGGATTTTATAGAGTGACATCATTTTTTTCAATAGATCGTTGTTGAATTCAGTACCAGGGTCAAAGCTTATTTTCTTAGGTATGCCGTAAAATGAAAAGTATTTTATTAGTGCGCGGATAACGTCAGGTGTGCTTTTACTAGGAATTTCAATTGCCTGTCCTAGTTTGCTAAAAGCGTCAACTAAGGTGAGGTATGTTTTTCCTTCGATACTAAATATATCTATAAATAAAAACACAATAGTCATGGGTGACTTTAACACATGCCTGCTGAAAAATGATTCTCGCTCCAGACGGCTCCTTTCTTTAACTCAATCTTACAACCTACAAAACTTATATCTTAACGCTACGCATAATACAAAAGTTATTTTACTGCCTATCATGTATGATTTAACATTAAACATATCTTTCTAATTCGCTTATTTTTATATAAAGAGTTCTAAAATTACTTACAAAAAGATTATATAAACTTAAAACATATGTAGAGTATACTGCATTATTTTCTTTAGTACTTATGTCTTTTAACATTTTTTCTACACGTTTTAGTCTTTCGTCCATAATTTTGAGTTATTGTGTAATACTTCTGATGAATTAATGAGTCCATCTAACATTTTGGAAACAACTGTTAAACGCTTGTTTGTGGAAATTTTGTTGATTACCTAATTGATTTATTAACTGTTCATATCGTGGAGCATCTTCCTGATCTAAGTTTCCAGTTATAATTTTAATAATAGCGCCTAGAGGGTTCAATATTCCTCTTCGTACTCGGTGTGAAGGGATTCTTTGCCTAATCTTTTCAGTAGTTATACTCTACTTGTTCCCTAATTCCTAAAAATTCTTTAAACTAAGGCTTATCATCACTTACTATCTTACTAAAATTACTATATTTCCTATTGTTATATTCTAATTCCATCAGTAGGCCATTTAAATCTAATACCTTAAAAATAAGCCAGTTATCCTGTTGGATGAAGGCTGTTCCCTGTCTTACGGATCCCTGGATTGTTTTCAACCTTTTGAAGTTGAAGGCCCAGGCTGGGGCTCGTGAGTGTCGTCATGATCACTAAGCACCACCTTTGAAGGTCGTTTTATGTTTTTAATTGGTACTTTTTTGTGTTTACCTCTAATTGTAATAGGGATGGTGTTTCTTTCAGGTTTTCCTGTAACTATGGCCTTTTCAAAACAAGGTTTGTCCTTACTTCTGCGAGTGTTTATTAATTTTGTGAAAATTGTTTTCCCTTCTGGTAACGGGACGTCGGATTCGCCACCGCGTTTTTCTGTAGAGTTTTAAACGTTAACATTTTATCAGATATGTATTTGTATAAAACTTTCATTCTTTTGGCGTGGTCTTTAATTAATTTTTGCAAGTATTGTTTCTCGAAGTCTATATTGAATGGTTTTTCAGAATCTACATGGCCAAACACTACTTCAAACGGTGTTAAAGTTGTTACAGTATGAATCGCATTATTATATGCCATGTTAGAGTAGGTCATAATAGATGCGGCGTCGGTACATTGTTGTTCGTATTTTGCCAGTCTGTAAATTTCAATTAAGGTGGAATGAAAACGTTCAACTATTCCCATTGAATTAGGGTTCCTAGGCGTGCCGATATGTATTTGGATTTTATAGAGTGACATCATTTTTTTCAATAGATCGTTGTTGAATTCAGTACCAGGGTCAAAGCTTATTTTCTTAGGTATGCCGTAAAATGAAAAGTATTTTATTAGTGCGCGGATAACGTCAGGTGTGCTTTTACTAGGAATTTCAATTGCCTGTCCTAGTTTGCTAAAAGCGTCAACTAAGGTGAGGTATGTTTTTCCTTCGATACTAAATATATCTATAAATAATTCCTGGAATGGGTCATCTTGCGTTTGAGTTAACTGTAAATATGGTTTCAAAGGCTTTCGGTCATATTTCATTTGTTTACAGGCTTCACAAGAATTAATTACTGCTGATATAGTTTCTTTCATGTTATTCCAAAAGAAGTGTCGCCTGATGCGTGTAAAAGTTTCTTGAATACCTCTGTGACAGGGTTTCCGAGATGAAATTTCAGAATAACGGCTTTCTGTTCATTTTCATCGTCAATAAAAACGATTCTTTCCGTACACTCATAAAATTGATTTGATCCACCTTTAAAAAGCCATACCATGTTGCTGAATTGTTTGCGATGTTCCGTATTTCCGAAATATATAAAATATTTCTTTTTGGGTTTT